TACTGGACTGAGGTTATCCATATCCTTAATGCTACGACACATTCTTCAATAACTGTTGATCCTTTGACATGTATCCTCAGTCACTTTGACTCATCTACTTGGATGAATGTAAATTTCTGACAGTTTCCAGATCACTTTTTGCTGCTCGTAGAACGATTGGTAAATGGATTTCAACGTCTCCCCCCACTATAGCAGGCTACAGGAACTAAATAGAAGTATCATATGTGAAAAAAAAGGTATATTTCTTACACCATGACAAAATTTGATGGCATATGGAAATGCTGGTAAGACGGTACATACAGTGGGTATATAAAAAGAATCACCCCTTTAAAATGATCACATTTTGTTGCATTGCAGCCTGAAATGAAGACACACAGTTTTTGAAGACACATAGTATTTACTCAGTGCAGCTTATAAATATCCAAGTGAAAGATATAACACAAACATGTCAGAAAAAAATAAAATAATTTAAAAACAGAATCACAGAGTTGAAAAAAGGATCCCCCCTCCTAAAAACGACTTGTAAACTAAATCAGATGTAGCTAATCACCTTCTCAATGGCACACAAAGCCATTTGACTTTCAACTGTGATCAGCTGTTGTCATTTTTATTATTATACAGGATTTATATAGCGCCAACAGTTTGCTCAACGCTTTACAATATAATGGGAGACAATACAGCAACAATACAGTTCAATACAAGAGGGATTTGAGGGCCTTGCTCCTTGGAGCTTACAATTTTGATTAGCTGAGCATGAAAAGAGCTTTCCTGGAGCATTTCAGTTTCTTGTAGTGCAACTGAAGCGAACAACCAATTATGGGTGGCAAGGCACTGTCAAAAGATCTTTGGGATAAAGTTGTGGACAGACAAGTCAGGAGATGGATCCCAAAAAAACTTCAAAGGCTTTATCAATGCCTAGAACAGCAATGGGCAAACTACGGCCCGGCGGACCTTTTAATCCGGCCCCGCGAAGCTAGGCTCCCGCTAGGCTCCTCTCACAGTCCGCCCTGAAGACCGGTGTAGCATGAAAATCTGTCTCCTATGAGGATCTGTCCCCCTCGACGTATCTGCGCATGTGCCGGAGATCCCCGATCGGCTGCTAATGCCTGAAACTGGCACATGCGCAGATACGTCGAGGGGGACAGATCCTCATAGGAGACAGATTTTCATGCTACACCGAACGGCGCGGGAACAAGAGGAACGTGCGGAGCAAAGGTAAGTGAATTGACACAGGGGGGACTTGGGGACTTAATATGGGGAATGAATTACTATAGGGGGGATGAATTACTATAGGGGGGATGAATTACTATATGGGGGATGAATTACTAAATGGGGGATGGATTACTATATGGGGGATTAATTACTATAGGGGGGATGAATTACTATATGGGGGGATGAATTACTATAGGGGGGATGAATTACTATAGGGGGGATGAATTACTATAGGGGGGATGAATTACTATAGGGGGGATGAATTACTATAGGGGGGATGAATTACTATATGGGGGATGAATTACTATATGGGGGATGAATTACTATATGGGGGATGAATTACTATATGGGGGATGAATTACTATAGGGGGGATGAATTGCTATATGGGGACGAATTACTATATGGGGGACGAATTACTATATGGGGGACGAATTACTATATGGGGGATGAATTACTATGGGGGATGAATTACTATATGGGGGATGAATTACTATGGGGGATGAATTACTATATGGGGGATTAATTACTATGCTTACTATGGGGGAATATTACTATACTTACTATGGATGACACATACACATCATTCATCTACTCTTGGTCCGGCCCCTGGTCCAATATATGAACCCATTGCGGCCCTCAAGTTGGCCTAGAAGCACAGTGAAGTCTATTAAGAAGTGGAAGGCATTTGGTACAACACAGACCCTCCGTAGATGAGGATGTTGCTCTAAACTGGATGAAGGAGCCAGGAGGAAACTGGTCAGAGGTTATCAAGAGGCCTACAACAACTCTGAAGCAGTTGCAGGAATTTATGACAAAGAGTGGTCAAAGTGTGGTCATTGTCTGCATGTGACAATATCACAAATTCTCCACAAATGTGGTTTGTATCGGAGGAGGGTTGCAAGAAAAAAGCCATTCCTCAAGAAAGGTCACATGCAGTCACGACTGAGCTTTGCCAAAACATACCTTGAAAATTCTGAGACCACAAGGAAAAAAGGTGTTCTGGTCAGAGGAGACTAAAATTTAACTTTTTGGTCTCAACACCAAACTATGTGTGGCAGAAACCTATTACAGCTCACCATCCAAACAACACCTTTCCTACAGTAAAAGATGGAGTTGGTAATATCCTGTAATAGGGAGCACTTGTCAGGATAGAAGGAAAAATGGATGGGGCAAAATACCATTAACTTCTTTAGGCGATCTCTGAAAACCTATCTCTTCAGGGAAGCCTATCCTGCCCTCAGCTAATAATGGAATCTTCTACTCTTCCTACCGGTCCATCCCCCACAGTTACTACCTTTTGTACCACTAGCCCCTCCCTCCTAGATTGTAAGCTCCAAGGAGCAGGGCCCTCCTATCCCTCTTGTATTGAACTGCATTGTTGCTGTATTGTCTCCCATTATATTGTAAAGCACTGAGCAAACTGTTAGCGCTATATAAATCCTGTATAATAATAACTTCTGGAGGAAAATCTGCTACCATCTGCCTAAAAGTTGTCATGTAGAAGATAAACCACTTTCCCATTGACAATGACCCAAAGCACACAGCAAAAATGAGTGCACAGTGATTGAAGGAGAAAAAGTGAATGTCCTTGCATGGCTGAGTCACAGCCCAGACTTAAATCCCATTGAAAATGTGTGGAATGACTTGAAGACTGCAGTTCACAAATGGTCACTTACAAATTTAACTGAACTTAAGCAGTTCTGCAAAGAAGAGTGCACAAATATTGCAAAGTCTAGATGTGCAAAGTTAGTAGAGACATATCCCAAGAGACTAAAAGCTGTAATTAAAGCAAAAGGTGGTTCAACAAAATACTGACACACGGGGGTGATCCTTTTTCCAACTTTTTTTTTCCCCTGACATGTTGGTATTAGATCTATTTTTCACCTGCATGTTATTTAGTGGTACACCAAAATAAAAATTGCCCGAAAAACGAAATGGGCAGCTTTTTAAAATTAATATATATTTTTAATGATTTTAATTATTAAAAAAAACCTTAACTTTAAAAAAAAAGTTGTAGATGAAACTGTGAAACTTATGGGCAGTTTCCATTTTTTTGGGGGGGGGGAATGTTCTGTTATGTTTAAGTGTATATGCAAAATCAGTATAAACATTTTCTTAAAAAATAAAACCTGTTTATAAAAAAAAAAAAATGTAAAAAGTTTATAGATCTCTCTCTCTCTCTATATATATATATATATATATATATATATATATATATATATATATATATATATATATATATATATATATATATATATATCTATATCTATCTATCTATCTATCTATCTATATCTATCTCCGCTCAATGAAACCAGGACCTACACTTCCTCATTGGAGGAATCATCTGAGGTAATCCACCCATTCTGACAATGTTTGTCAGATAAGTTACCACCAACATAAGAGCAACACCAGTCAAAGCAGCTTTAAAGGCTGAAGGTTTTTTATCTTTGTGCATTCAAACCTTCAGTGTTTAGCTCCTCCCTCAGCCCTCCCTAATACCTACTTGAGCCTGATCTCGATCCAGCAATGTGCGCAAAGCAGCGGCTCTCCTGGGTCTTTCAGCCCTCATTGTCTGAAATACAGCAGCCAGTGGCCCTTATGGACACACAGAGGTGGCTTGGGAGCAAACAGAAGCGTGTGTTGCCCCCAGAGCAGCCAGTTTGCTCTGGGGGCACTCAGCAGGGGGGAGGATAGGAGTTTATCTGTGCAAAACCACTGCACAGAGGAGGCAAGTATGACATTTATTTTTTTAAAAAGTGCTGAACCTTTAATATCACTAACTCAAACTAAGATTTTAGGGAGTTTCACAGTCCGTGAAATACAGTGAGCACACTAAAAGTGAGAGCACCAATCATCCACTTGCTGAAGCCATGTTGCATCCATGTAGCAAATGGGCCCAATGTCAGGCAAGACATACCCACAAACCCAGGCAACTAGCACTGATGTGATTTTCAGGCAGCCAGAAGTGACCAAGTCACTAAGCGGGCAGTGGAACAGAGCACAGACCAGAGATCCATAAGGTTTTTTCAAGAGCAGAAGTGACAGTTGAATGGTTAGCCGGTACCACACCTCCGGACCCCAAAAAATGATTTGCAGCTAGCCAACAGTGCACTACAGTCTGGAGAGTGCAACAATGAAGAGACCAGTGCCCAAAGGTCACATTCCAGGCTAGCATTACACACTCAGATCAGCAGGGTCTGGATAAGCAACTCAAGCACTGGTGTAGCAACAATTTTTTTTTGTAATTCCTTTATTTCTCAATTGCACACGGGGAAAAAAATAAATAAATCAAGCAATGTACAAATATAAGCAGGTCAACTAAAATTATCAAAACAGAATACAATCCGTCAAGCAGCAATAATGAGACACAGTATCATTTGTAGGCAGAAGAATGTCCAGGGCAACGTTGAGGGGGACAATGGAGAACGTTACCATTATAGTGAACACATTAAAGCAAACACTAAAGTGAACTGTGCATTCTTTAGAGTTTCTGACATGAAAGGTCCACAGGTAATAAGGCAATAAGTCACCAAGACAAAAATACCAGTTAGGCGGCTAGCAATAATTAGACTTCAGCAGATTAAAAAAAAATAAAACATTTTGTGAGTCACTGATTTGGGAAAAAACATGAACATAAGCATAAGGATCACTTGATATGACTGTTCTAGTTTCAGTGGAAAGAAGTGGCTCTACAGATTGGGTTCTTGGCTGTAAAACCAGCAAAGGGTTCCAATCTTTGACCCTAAATACCTTAGTGTATTACAGGTGACAAGTAGAGCTGTCTTACCTTTGATGAGGAACTAGCACATTATTTATGCCTCCCAGCTTAGCATTGATCTTCAGACATAAATTGGAAAGTGTCTGAGGAGAAGTCTTCACCACATTTTTCACTTGCACACACTGGGTTGCCATTCCAAGGAGTGTGTCCCCCACTCTTTTTACTTCGGCTAGGAGGAAAAACACATGTATGGAATGCATGGGAAAATGTAATCTGCTCTGTACAGCTGGTCCCATTTGAAACCAATGCAGGAATAGCGGTGTGCAAATTGATACTTAAAACAAAATATAAAGCACACTGTGCTAATATACTCAACTCTGTGCTTAATTGTGCCACAAATCACAAGTTCTATCATACATATTCACCACCACATTCAATACCACATGTTCCATAAACAGGTGAAGACATGAAAAAAAAAAGTATATATGAGCTCAACAATATTAAAAAGCAAGTGTTCATGAATACTATACCAGTCCTTTAAAAACTCACAAGTAATGAAGAACATCCACAAGTGAAATACTTCCTCAATTTGTGTCTAGGTGGAACAACTTTTACCACCTCTTACGAGTATGCTCCCACCTTATCTTACGGACCTCTAACATAAAGAGTCTTATTCACATATCTCTTAACAGGGATGTCACTCAACTGATCCAGATCTCATCAAGGAACAATTCTTTAAACTTGCTTACAAAACGTGGTGGCAATTTTTTTTTTTAGGACAGACACACACACACACACACACACACACACACACACACCACACACACACACACACACACACACACACACACACACACACACACACACACACACACACTTTTTTTCTCTGGGGATCTGGCCAGTAACACCTCCTGTATTGGCATGCCCCCACTCTGACAATGCTGCTGTCTGCTGTGCCCATTCTTCCAGTCTGGGGAGGAGAAGGTTAGATGTACTAGCAAATTTAAATACACTAACAAATTGAAGCCAAACTCCAGCTAACACTTTATAAGGAGTTACAGGAAAAACTAAAAAAAAACAAGATGAATAAAAGCTGATAATTGTAAGCACCCCTGCCAGTATTAAACTGTTTGTATCATTCCTGTAACCGATACATCTGCAAGATGTAAAACAGATTTACTGGCCTGATGAATATATTAAAATAAAAGAAAGCCTAAGAAAGAAAAGGAGTATTTAGAAACAGAAAAAAAAAAAAAAAAAAAGGACTCCCCCTAAAGGCAGCATTTTTAACACTAAGTGTACATGAGGCCTACAAATTGGTAAGATGCAATATAATAAATGTTTGCTTTTGGGTTTAATACTGCCACAGTACAGACTGAGTATTCATACGCTAGCATGTTCCCAAGCAAAGAATATGAAGCGTGGGCAGCAAAATAGCCAAACAGATCTGTGCCAAGTGGTCAAATAATTCAACAGACCAAACTTCAGAGTGCTGTTGCAAGAACTTTGTAGCCAAAAGCTGCTTCCACAGAAGATTGGACAGCCATCTGGTAGAACTTTGAAAAAGGTATCAACAGAAGACCAGGTGGTGGCCTTACAAGGGTGGGCTAGAGGCCTGGTTCTAAATGCGCAGGAAACTCCCACTAACCTGGTGGAGTGGGCATGTAACAGCACAAGACATTTGTCCTCAAGAGAAAGCTCTAGCAGTCAGATGTCCTATCCATCTCTTGAGAGGACCAAACTGAGATCCTAAGGAAGCAAAAGGGTGCTGCAAGGGGGGCTTGAGGCAAGATACATCTTGAATAAAGAATGTGACAAGGGAGAGCAAAGAGGTTTAAAAATATTAGCTTGAAAACGTCTGGTTGAAGGGCTCATTCACCTTGATGCAAGTGATGGCCTTTACAGTCCCAGGAGCGGACAAGTGGAAAGTAGATTACCTAAAAACACTGAACCCAGTGTATCAACCCATGAGATTACTTGAACTGCTTTCTTCAAAAGCTACAGAACTCCTAATGCCTCCTTGATGGTCAATGTAGGTCGTGACTGTGGCATTGTCTGACTGCACCCTAATCGAGTTTTTGCGGGGGGCGCTGGTCAAAAGGAGTATTGCACAGTGGCTAAATGGTTAGTACTTCCGTCTGGCAGTACTAGGGTCGTTGGTTCGAATCCCAGCCACGGCACCTCCTGCTTGGAGTTTGCATGTTCTCCCTGTGCCTGGGTGGGTTTCCTCCGGGTACTCCGGCTTCCTCCCACACTCCAAAGACATGCTGGTAGGTTAATTGGATCCTGTCTAAATTGGCCCTAGTATGTGTATGAATGTAAGTTAGGGACCTTAGATTGTATGCCCTTTGAGGGTTAGGGACTGATGTGAACGTACAACATATATGTAAAGTGCTGCGTAAACTGACTGCGCTATATAAGTACCTGAAATAAATACATAAATACATTGCAGAGTCATGCTGCTCATTTCTTGAGGCTCCAGGATGTTGATGTGAAGCTTGGCTTCCACCTGTGTCCATTTTCCCTGGACTGTGAGGGACTGGAACACTCCCTCCTGAGCCTGAAAGACTGGCATCTGTTATCACTTTCAAGCAATGAGGAAGGAAAGATTTCCTTATTCCTAAGGCTGAGTTGGAGACCCACCAAGTTAGGGAATTCCTTGCTTGGCTGCACTGGAGCATGGGTAGGTTGAGAGAAGGAGAAGCATGTTTGCTGCAGGTTGACAAGATGTGCTGGAGAAACCTTGGATGAAATTGGGCAAAGGAGGCTACCATGAGGTCTCAAACGCAGAGGACTACGTTGTGCGTTGTCCCATTGTGGACTCTGACCTCTATTTGAGCGTGAGCTCAGAATTTTCTTCACTAGAAGGAAAACTCTTTTACACATGGTGTGTCCAGGACCAGATCCAAGCATTCCAGGCTGGAGAGCAGATTTTTGCAAATTATCACCAAACCGAAGAGCATATGAATTGTCCTGTGGACTTTTGCAGACATCTTGAAGGGAGAAGAGTCCTTCAAAAGGTCATTAAAAAACCTGCGACCTGGATACTCTTCTGAGAAGGGCAAAAGAGGTGCTATGACCTTTGTGAATACTCTGGGAGAAAATGATAGGCCAAAAGCCAGTGCAACAAACTGGAAAGGATTCTCTGCAAGTGCAAAGTGCAGGATGAATACTCCTATTAGACTCTGGTACCGTGAACAGGTTTGAATAAAATCCTTAGAACCTGTCTTGTGGGATACTGAACTACTCCCTGGAACAAGAGATGGTTCAAGGAATTCTGCAAATCTGACCTTGGGGCAGTTTTTAGTTGATCTGAGAGAAGCAGCGAGGGGGTAGAATTTTGTAACTATTTTACACCCCTTTGAAACCACCAATTCAACCCATTAGGTCTGGGCTATCTTTGACCCAGAGAGGCAAACTAACAGAAGTTCCAACACTCTGAGGGTTGCCTTTCATTGGGATGAGGCATTTGTAGACGACTTGGTGGGATTTGTGGGCCAAGTTTGCACCAGAAATGAAGGGCAGAACTTATTCTTCACCTTCAAAACCTAAGTAGAGAGATTGGATGCTCTGGGTTTTTAAAAAGGTAGAGGCTCTTGAGGAGGGAGGTTTTGGAATCTTCTCAGTGAAGTAGAACCTTCTCTTCTGTGATATCATGAATTTGTCAAGTGCCTTCCCAAAGAGACATCCACCCTCAAAGGCATGTGTGTGAGGAGTCCTACAGGCAGCTTCAGCTGTGCACACTTTGGGCCACAAGATTTTGTGCATGTTAATGAAGAATTAGGGCCATTCTGGAAACTGGTTTCAACACGTTTGGCAGCCAAAGCAGACAGCTGACAAAAGAGCAGAGCAAAGGTAATTGCTGGAATTACTCGGTTAAGGCTTCGTGTCCTTGAACACAGGCTCATGTTGGTTGTTCATTGCCCTAGTCCAGTTAGCTGCAGTTTGCTAGACAAATCACAGTGACAGCTGGTGGCAGAGCTTGGCCTGTAAGTGCAAAGATCCTTTAGGAGCATCTCAAACTTCCTATCAGCAGAATCTCTCAATGAAGGAACATCAAATCATGTAATGTCTACATGATTTGCTGGGATGTGGACATAGCACACACAGTCTGGATTTCTCTCCTGCTACAGAAATGAAGGAACAGCTTTGATTGATATGGATGATAAGTTTAAGACTGAGATGGTAGGATCAACTACCAAGAACAGACCACTTTTTACTGAATACTTTCTCCACTGGATAGTAGTTTGGCAATGATTTTCAGAGAGATTGAAATCTTTTCTGGAATTATCCAATTGCCCTAAAATGATCATTCTATATGTTTATGAATAGGGAATGCCTTTATAGATTTTGATGGTCTTTCCTTCCAAAGGGCATGTGATTTTGATGGTCTTTCCTTTCCAAAGGGCATGTGAGCTGGGGAATGCACTTGGCATTTTGGAGCCCTGGACAGAGATGGTGGTTTTAAACTGTTAACTTGTCTAAGGAATTGTGACAGATGCAGAAAAACCTGCTTTTGTCAGGAAATTGGCTTATTCTGTGCCTGAAATGGCACTAGAATCAGATGCAAAGACTGGTGTTCTACTCGGGACCCACTCTGATGTAAGAATAGCTCCATCACAGAGGCCGAGTGTTGTGCAGGCCTTCAGCAGAGTGAACGATGATTGTCTGATATTCTGCTGTGGCTCCCTTTTTCCTGGTTTCCACCATAGCTATGAACTAGGGTGTTCCCCAGTGGGGTGGGCACAGAAAAGGGTGTGCAATATATTGTAAGCATGTCTTGAAGGAGTATACAGCAACCCTGGTATAGACCATCCTGCAGTAAAGTCCTCATGGTGAAAGAGTGGGAGGAAGTGCCCAAGCGGCTCACAGTGAAAGTGTAAGTAAAGTGGTGTGATGTAACATCTGAGCATCAATCCAAGATCAAGCTAAATGGCTGAGTTTTAGCACAAAGTTTGAAAAGTTTACAATGTAAAGTAAAGTAAATGCATTCCAAACAAAGACCCTCTTTATACAGTAACAGTCAAGAGGTACAGGGTGACCCTGTCTTACTTGTCCATAGGGAAGGACCACATGTACCTCTGAACCCACAAGAAGGAACCGACGTGCAGGTACGTTGCTATGCCTTTATAAGCCGCCCGCAGCAAAATGTGGGTGGAGAGGTGCGTAAGTGGTTAAGAAGGCACTAGATATACAAAGTGAGACTAAACAAAATCACCAGTTTCCAAA